ACGATATGTGACCTTCTGAGCCTGGCTTTCTTCTCTTGGCAAAATGTTTTTGAGGTTCATCCAAGTTGTTGCCTGTTTCAGGACTTCGTTTGTTTTGTATGGCTGAAAAATATCTCACTGTGTGTATGCATATGGATTTGTCTTTTCCTTCATCCATTGCTGGGCATCTGAGTTGTTTCCACTTTTTGGACATGAGTGGGGTGCTGCCATAATCACAGTGTATAGTTTCCATATGGACATATATTTTCACACCTCTGCAGACACCAGGCATTCGAATGGCCGGGTCCCGTGGTGACCCTGTTTAGAGTGTGACGGCAGCCACCCCATTTCACTTCCCACCAGCGCTGCATGAGGGGGTCTATGTCCCTCTGTCTGCAACACTTGCTATTTTCTGATATTTTGGTAGCAGCCATACTAATGGGTGGGAAGTGGCACCTGGTCATGGCTGGATTCACATTTCTTAGTCATTACAATGTTAAATATCTTCTCACGTGCTTGTTGGCCCTTTGTATGTCCTCTTCTCGGGAGAAATGTGATCCAAGTCCTTTGCCCACTTTAAAATCTTTTTTTTTTTTACCCTCACCCGAGGACACTTTTTGATATTTTGTTCAGATAGAGTGGGAAGGAGAGAGAGAGAGAGAAACATCGGCGCGAAAGGGACACATCGAGTGGTTACCACCCACACGACCCAACCAGGGCCGGGGACAAACTGCAACCGAGGTACGTGCCCTTAGCGGGTATCGAACCCAGGACTCTCTGGACCGCAAGCCAACGCTCCAACCGCTGAGCCAAACCAGCCAGGGCTAAAATCTTTATTGTAGCTTTTCAACGTCCCCTGGGGACATCTCACCCCCAGCTTTTCCCCGTCCGCTGTCTGAGGGCCTTACTGTTCCCACCCCAGCTCCCACCCGCCTGATAGGTGATAAACAAGTGCTCCTGGTTGTTCCTGTAGCTGCGAACAGGTGTACCTGGGGGGCTCTGAGTGAGGTCAGCGGAGCTGGGATGGGGACAGCGCTGGGCAGGAGCTCCACCCTCACAGCTCCTCCCCGGGGTGTGCGGGTTTCAAGTCCCCAAAGGCTGATGGGAGTGGCTGAGGAGAATACGGGAAGTTGAAACACCACAAAACCACTGTTCTTACAAAGATTATGGGGTTTTCCTTGTTTAAACCACACCCAGATTAGTGCAAACATTTTATAATTCCAAGACTTCTAAAAAGCTTTATTCTTACAAGTGTTTCTAGTGTTATTACTGCTGTTTATGGCAGAGAGGCTTTGGGGTGGGGGGAGATGTCACTTTACCACTGCTGCTGAAATCACCCTGTACATATGCTTGTTTATATATTTAAAGTTTTTTTTTTTGTACCCTGACTGGTTCAGCTCAGCAGTTAGAGTGTCAGGCCGGGGACCAAAGGATTGTGGGTTAGATTCCCAGTCAAGGGCACAAGCCTGGGTGGCAGGTTGGAGCCCCAGCCCCAGTCGGGGTCATGTGAGAGGCAACCAATCAATGTGTCTCTCTCATATCAATGTTTCTCTCTGTCCCTCCCTCCCACTCTATCTAAAAATCAGTGGAAAAATTATCCTCAGGTGAGGATTAACAGCAAACCTGAGGATACTTTCCCATTGATTTTTTTTTTTTTTTCCAGAGAGAGCGGAAGGGTTTGGGAGGGAGAGAGAGAGAGAGAAACATTGACGCGAGAAAGACACATCAATTGCTGCCTCCTGCACGTACCCCAACCAGGGGCCCAGGGTCCAGCCTGCAACCCAGGTATGTGCCCTTGACCAGGAGGAATCAAACCTGAGACACTTTGATGCATAGGCCAACACTCTAAGCACTGAACATCAGCCAGGATTTTTTTTTTTATTTCTTTTTAAAATTTTTATCCTTACCCAAGGACATTTCTGCATTCATCTTCAAATAGAGCGGGAAGGAGAGAGGGAGGGAGAGAGGGGGGAAGAGAGAGAGGGAAACATTGATGTGAGAGAGACACATCGACTGGTTGCCTCCCACACAAATCCACCCAGGGCCGGGGACAAACGGCAACTGAGGTGCGTGCCCTTGACTGGAACTGAAACCGAGACTCCCTGGTCCCTGGCCAGGTGCTCCAACCACTGAGCAAAACCACTGAGCCAAACCAGCAGGGCAGGGCTCCTGTACTTTTAATGCTTCACCTAAAGGTTATACAGTGTAGCTCATATTTATTAAATTCCAATACATATTAGTGATGTAAACATTTCCGGGACAATAAAAGGACCTTAGAAGACTTTAACCTTGTCACCTGCCCCACTTCCCCTTTGCATTTTAATTCTAATCACGCACCAAATGTTCATATTCAGCTCATATACAGTTCAGATTCTAAAAATTCATTTTCTGATTTCTCACTTACGGCTAAGTATTGAGGAACATACTGCTGTGTGTCTGTCTATCTGTTGTTATCGTTTATTACTGGTTTCTGCATTCATCTCGCTGTCGTCAGAACATGCTCTTCCTGGGGCCCAGAGAAGACCAGCGTTTCACCACGTGACATTCTAGGCTTTGGCATGTGGATTGGTTGGAGCAGTTTTTACCTTTTTCCCACAGAGGAGCTTGCCCTAATCAGCAGAAAAGCCACATGGGGAATTTCTTCTTAAATCTATTTCCTGCCTGGCTGGTGTGGCTCCGTGGTTGAGTGTCGACCCTGCACCAAGAGGTTGCCAGGTTGTGGGCCTGACCCCCAGTGGGGGGCATGCAGGAGGCGGCCAGTCGATGATCTCTTATCAATGTTTCTATCTCTCTCTCCCTCTCCCTTCCTCTCCCTCTAAAATCAATAAAAAATAAATAAATAAAAATTAAAAATCTATTTCTTTCTGTTTTTAAATGGAGATGGTTGACATACGACATCGTGTAGCTTCAGGTGCACAACATAAGGATCCAGTATTTACACAGGTTGTGAGGTGATCACAACAGATGCAGGTAGCGTCCCTCCCCTCACATCGTCATAAACACATTTTCTTGTTTTTCTTGTGATGAAGACTTGTAAGATCCACTGTCTTAGCAACTTCCAAATATGCAATGCTGTATCATTATTTTTCTAAATTTCTTTTTCTTTTCTTTTCTTGTTTTTATCCTCACCCCTGGACATTTCTCCATTTTTTTTTTTGTTGTTGTTCAGGTAGAGTGGGAGGGAAAGAGAGGAAGAGAGAGAGAAACATCGACGTGAAAGGGACACATCGAGTGGCTGCCACCCGCACGATTCAACCAGGACCAGAGACAAACTGCAACTGAGGTACGTGCCCTTAGCGGGAACCGAACCCGGGTCTCTCTGGACCGCAGGCCGACACTCTAACCGCTGAGCCAAACTGGCCAGGCTAAATTTCTTTTTCTTTATTGATTTTAGAGAGAGAGGAAGGGAGAGGGAGAGAGAGATAGAAACATCGATGAGAGAGAACATCGATCGACCGCCTCCAGCATGCCCCTCACTGGGGATCGGGTACGTGCCCTGACCGGGAATCGAACCGGCGACCTCTTGGTGCAGGGTCGACGTTCAACCGCTGAGCCACACCAGCCGGGCTGCAATGCCGTATTATTAACTGTAGTCACCATGCTGTGCTTTACATCCCTATGACGTATTCACCTTACAGCTGAACGTAAGGTGCACCTTTGGAGCCCCCTTCACCCACTTCTCTCACCCACCCTCCCCTGGCAACCACCAATCTGTTTTCTGTATATATGATTTTTTGTTTTATTTTTGTGTTTGAATCTACATAGAAGGAAGATCATAGCTGTCTGTCATCCTCTGTCTGACATTTAACAGGATGTCCTCGAGGTGTACTCATGTTGCCAACGGCAAGATTTCATCCTTCTTCAGGGCTGAGTAATACTCTCCTGTGTGCCTTTATACATCTATGGATGATCCCAGCTGACCTACCTTCAAGTTCACTGACTCTTTCTTGTCTCAAATACGCTGCTGAGGTCCTCTATAAAATTCCCATGTTTTTGTACTTCTCCATTGTAGAACTTCTACTTGTTCTTTTTTGATGACTTCTACCTTTTATTGATATTTTCTATTTGTTGAGACATTCTTCTCACACTTTCCTTTTTTTTTTAATCCTCACCCGAGGACATTTTTCCATTTTTGTACAGATAGAGTGGGAGGGAGAGAGAGGAAGAGAGAGAGAGAGAAACATCGATGCGAAAGGGACACATCGAGTGGCTGCCACTCGCACGACCAACCAGGGCCGGGGACAAACTGCAACCGAGGTACATGCCCTTAGCGGGAACCGAACCCGGGTCTCTCCGGACCACAGGCCGACGCTCTAACCGCTGAGCCAAACCGGCCAGGGCTCACACTTTTCTTTAGTGTGTTTGGCATGGTTTCCTTTATTTCTTTGAATATATTTCAGATAGGTGATTGAGAGTCTTCTTCTAGTCATCACAATGTCTGTACTTCCTTGGGGACCATTTCTGTGGACTGCACTGTCTCCTGTGTGGGCCACCTCTGGCTCCTGTGGATAATGCTGCAGAGAGCATGGGAGGGCATCTATCCTTCTGATTCATGCTTTTGTTTGCACGGTGAACACAACATTTTTGTGATGTTCTAGGTAGCAGAGCAGCAGAGGCCCATGAGAACTTCTGAGGAGTGGCTGGGTAAAGGGAGACCTCAGTGCACAGCCACAACCTGGGCCATGCTCAGATGGCCAGGGGTTAGGGCAGAGGCAGGGCAGGGGCAGGAGTAGCTGGTGCATCAGCAGGACCCACACGGGCTCAGGTGACAACCCTGGTGACAAGTACGGGAGTGATCCAGCTGCCACGGCAACCTGCCAGGGCTCTGCTCTTGCCCCTGCCCTTGTTCCTGGAGTGCCCAGCCTCTGCACGGCCAGGACTGAGGACCAGGGAACAGTGCCCATGGGCACAGGAGGACGGCATCAGCAGCATCAAGTTGGGTTGAATTTAGCCCAGAACAGGCTTGTGCTGCGTTCCTGGTACAATGTCTCCGGTCACTGGTGACAGAAACGAGGGTCGACATGACTTCGTCCAGCCTTGACGGGCTGGAGGAGGGCCAGCCACCCCCTGCCCCCAGCATCTGGGCTCAAGTTGAAGAAGGACCCCATTAGGATGATGTTCCCCCAGGGACAAACAGCAAGCTGGAGACAGGGCATGTCTGGCTTCCGTGAGCTGCACTTTATCGTATGCCATTTGTCGAAAAGCTCGGGGCATTTTGCCAACATTTCTCAGCGTGTGGAAGGGGACTAAGATTGCCCAATAAGGGGTTGTCACCCCTCCCTTTTGTCAGGACAGAAAACAGGCCTCTCCTTTCCTTTGTTACGGCTTTCCCACCGTTGATGAGAAGCACTTGGTGATGAAACGCAGCGATTGCAGAGATTGCTGGCTCTTCTGACTCAAGCTTCCCCTCTATTCAAAAGCGGACGGATGAGAGCTGTGCTGAAGGCTGGACCCCCACCCCCTCTTCCCTACTATTTTAACAGCCCTGTGACAGTTCAAACCAACCAGCCCAGTGAATAGAAAGTCCCCTTCCCCCTCCCTTCCAGACAGGCCTCCCCTTTTTGAACCCCGTATAACTTTAGCTCAAAGCTTGTTTTGCAGGCCTGAGAAAACATTGATAAAGTCACCTTACCACACCTGCTGGACTATCTCCTGGAAAGGAAACAAACCGTGATGTTTCAAGACAACCCCGGCACCTGGTCAACCTCAACACGCTCCCTCTCCCTTCTTCATTGCTTTGCTACAGCTGCCATTTACTCCCTGAAATCCCAACGGAAGAGCAACCCTCTCTGTCTTTGCCACCCTGTGCTGCTTATCAACCACTGGCCTGCTCCTCCCTTGGAAAGTAAAACAAACCTCCTCAGTGTCTCTTCTCTGAGTCATGAATTCTTTCCAAAGCCTGCACCACCGGCCAAACCCTCACCCCTGGGGGCTGTGATATGAAGCTGGCTCCTGGCATCTCTCCTCTGTGTGCTCTGACCAGCAACAGGGCGCTGGTGCCACTCTGGGTCCTGGATGGGGTGAAGCGCTCAGGCTGAGGTCGGTGTCAAGGTAGCAAATGTTCAAACCTATAGAGGTATTTTAAAAATTTTTTTAGCGGGAGGGAGAGAGGGGGAGAGAAACATTGATGTGAGAGAGACATCGACTGGCTGCCTCCCACACAACCCCAACCGAGGCCAGGGACAAACTGCAACTGAGGTGCGTGCCCTTAGCGGGAACCGAACCCGAGACTCTCTGGTCCATGGGCCAGCACTCTAGCCGCTGAGCCAAACCAGCCAGGGGGAAACCTATGGAGATTTTCTGTGAGTTTATTTGAGCCAAACCGTCAACAATATCCAGGAAGCAGAATCTTAATGGGTTGCGATAGTGCTCCAGAGAAGGGCAGTTTTGCAACTCACTTGACACATTACAATGGAAAGCGAAGAAAATCCACTGGTGATCGATCAGGGAGTGGGAGAGAGCAAATTGGGGAAACCTCTGGGATTGGATGAAAAGTACAATGATAGACACATGCACCTTTTACACAGGTGGGGACAGGACAGGTAACAGTCAACAGTCAACATGATAATGGAAACAGGGGACTGTGGTCTCCGCCCTGGTGCATTGACTGTGCCCTGAGAGGCCTGGGAAAAGGGGAGTTACCCTGACATTCCCAGGACATGTCGTCATAGATGCAAAAAGACAATGGACAGGCTCAGTCAAGGTAAAGACTGACCTGTGTCAGGGAAGATGCCGGCCTAGGACATGACCACCCACTATAAACTGCTTTAGTTAAAGTTTTTAATTTCAGACCCTCCTTTGTGGTCACTTTAGGTCTCTGAGTTTGCAAGGCCTCCCCTGAGCTTGTCGGGTGAGCATGTGTCCCCTTTTCCTCCACATCGGGGGCATGGGCTCCAGGCCCTACAGCTCCCAGGCCTCAGCCAAGGAGTGGGAAGCAGAAAAGTCATTGGGACGTAGAGTGTTTCTGCTCACCTGACATTATGCACCCTCCCTGCTGTCCCAGTGTGGAAAATTAGCTTTAGGCAAGCACACCGAATTGTATGTCATCTTGCTGCCATTTTCTCATTCTTTGCCCCCATTTTATGGTTTTACACGTCATCGCTGGCCTTCACCTACGCCGACATGCACACGTCTTCGCTGTTGAATTTTGAAAACTGGACGCACCGTGTGGCCCCCACACTTGTCACGACCAGCACGTGGTCGAGGGAGCCTTCTCCCACCCTCGTGCCGGAGTCACTGTTTCGGTCGACGGACAGCAGACGTTGAGCCCATCCCGCCGGCAGGTAAACGCAAACACCCTCAGAAGGAGCGTGTCTGGCCTCCGGAAGGTATTGAAAACTTGCCAAAACCAGAAAGTGCTACATCAAGAAGAAAGTGGAACCAGTACAGAGCACCTCTGGGGCTGCAGTGCGGGGTCCGTGCACAACGGTAGGGGCCCGCAGGGAACAGTGAGACTGGCACAGGCCTGAGGCGGGGTGATTCCAGGCGGGGAAAGTCCGAGGGCCCACAGCCTCGCGCAGGGGGGTCGCTGAGATAAGTCCTGACTGAGGGCCTGGATGGGAGAGCCCCCACTTAGACTCCCACACTGTTCTAGTATGACGTGACCTTCTAGGACCCAGCCAAATGGCTACCTCACCAAACACCAGGAAATACACCCTTCTGAGAAATGAGAACTACCCTAGAGAGGAAGGGGCCCTGAGCACTGTCTCAACGTCCCCAACCACACTGCTCAGGTCTCTGCTTCAGGACACTTCTTTCCCGGCAACCACACCTGCTCCCCAAAGCTGGAGATGATCAAGGAGGAATTCCAGGTGGCAGACGTGGGGGCTCCCCAGAACTCAAAGCCCATGATGTCCACCGTGGTCAACATCCAGGCTGAGACTGCAGTGCCCGACCACATCGTCTGGTCCCTGTTCAACACGATCTTCTTCAACCCCTGCTGCCTGGGCATCGTGGCCTTCGCCTACTCCGTGAAGGTGGGTGTGGGGGGGGCTTCTCTAGAACGTGTGTGTGAGCCCCCAGAGGTCTCATCCCCAGATGGCCTTGGGAGTGGGGCCTCCAGGTGCGGGCTCTTCTGTGTGGACGTGCCTGTGGTGGGAGGGGGTGCATTCCCAGGGAGGGTTCCCGGTGGGGCTGCATGGACGTGCCTGTGGTGGGAGGGCCACGCTATGTCTCCACCATCCCCAAGAGCTCTCCTTTCCTTCCCAATTGGGGAAATTTCATCCTTCACATCTAACTCAGACCTCAGGTCTGGTCCAGAAAAAGGAAAAGGTTCTCAAAGATGATGACCCCCAGTGGGGCCAGCCAAGGGGCCAGGACAAAGGGAGGTGGAGCCCTGAGACTCCTGGAGAGGCCGAGAGGCTGTGAGGGAGGGTCCACCTGGCCCTGTCCTGCTCGGGCTCCAGGGAACAGGGAGGGGAGGGTCCCTGATCCGGCTGAGGGCGGGTGGAGGCTGGTCTGGGCAGGGACCAGCCAGGGAGGACCTGGGTCTTAGCTCCTGGCTGTCCCTAGGACCGGCTCCAGGCCCCCCTCACCATCTCTTCTCCCCCAGTCTAGGGACCGGAAGATGGTGGGAGACATGACTGGGGCCCAGGCCTATGGGTCCACCGCCAGAAGTCTGAACATCGGGGCCCTGGTCTTGGCCGTCTTTGTGACCATCATACTCATTGTTCTGATGTTTGTGGGCCCAGTAACCTATATAAGGCGGTGAATGTCAAGCAGAGTGGCAGAGGCTACTAGTCAATGCCCCCGGCAGGTGACCACGTCCTCCCCACCCACTGCTGCCCCGCCCCAGGCACCCACCCATTTATTCAGCTCTTTGTACAGACACACCTGTCTGCAACTGAAGTCAATAAAGTGCTCCCGTGTGTGACAACGGAGACATTTCCTGGGCAGGGGCACTGCCCAGCCCCAGCCTGTCCCTGAGACAGCCCGCCTCCTTCCTTGCCCACCTGCTTGCTGCTCTGAGTGGGGCCCGGCAATTTCTCAGATGTTCCTGGTTTCTGGCCTCCCTGTGGGACCAACAGCTGGACCAGGGTTCTAGGAGGGGGGTCTCTCCTTCTCAATGTCTGAGCCCTGAGCCAAGGGCTCTGGCCCAAAGGACAAGCCTCCCTGATTCCGGGCTGCCTGGAGCCGCTGCCAGTGCCCGCAGGCTTTGGGGGTGAGCCTGTGCCAGGGCCCGAGATGCACATGGGGATGGGCCTTCCTCAGCTTGACCCCTCGTGCCCTGCACTGTCACCCTGGAGGCTGGAGAAATGCAGGTGGCCACAGGCTGCTGTCCGGGAGGTGAACCATCTCTACACCAGCCTTGCCCTTGGGGGAGCTGGGCTGCCTGGTCCAGCTGTGGGTGAGGTCAGTCCTGCTGGCTCTGGTCTGTGGTGACAGCTCTTCCTGCTGGGTTCTCCGTCCAGTCCTGGCACCCAGGAGGGTTGACAATTCAACTCCCCCCACCTCCTTTATGACGACCCCTGCAGCACCCTAACTCCTGAGCCAAAGGAGAGTTGTGCTTTGTCTGTGGTGGGCGATGCCCCCCAGGAGGGCGCCCCTGCTCCTGAAGGCCCCACGTCTGAGCAGGAGGGGCTCAGGCCCAGGGAAGGTGGTCCTGCAGGACAGGAGGCTGGCAGGGACTTGGTGTTCCCAAGCCTGGACACTGGTGACCCGAAGGGGGGGATGGGCAGAGCCGACACTCCGAGTTCTGGGGATGGAGGGTCTGGGCGTCAGCCCCTGGTCCTGAGGACGTACTTCCCCAAGCTGAGGCTCCCTCGCAACCACCAAGGGCCTGGAGGCGGCACCCGTCCACTGCTGCAGGCGAGAAGGCGTTGGGGGGTGTCTGCAGCCAGTGCACCCCTAGCAGCAGCCTCCCACGGGGGTGTCAGGGATCCGCGTGCCAAGGTGGGGTCTGTGGAGGGCGGGGTCCCCCTGAGCCACCCATCCTGCCGCCGGCGTCCGCGGTGCCGGGGCTCTCTGGGCGGGCTCGGGGTGCGCGGCCCTGGCGGCGGTCCGCAGCCCCCCCTGGGCCCCCAGCCAGGCTCGCGCGGCGGGGGGCGGCAGGAGGGCGGGGCGCTGCGTTCGGCCGGCCGGGCTCGGGCTGTAATTTGCTGTTATATTTAGCGGCGGCGCTGGGCCTCCCGGGCGGCGGTGGGTATAAGCGGCCCCGGGCGCCCCCAGAGCGGCCGCGGAGCGAGGCGGCGACGGCGCTGGAACCCATGGACACGGCGTACCCCCGCGAGGACCCCCGGGCCCCGACGGCCCGCTCGGCCGACTGCGCCTCTCACACGGCCGTCGCGCTGGGGGCGCCGAGACCCCCGCCCAGAGACCACCTGATCTGGTCGGTGTTCAGCACCCTCTACCTGAACCTGTGCTGCCTGGGCTTCTTGGCGCTGGCCTACTCCATCAAGGTGGGCGGGCGGGGTGGGAGGGTGCTTTTCCATGCGGGCAGGTGGGTTTAGGGGGGCTGGAAGGGGCTCTTGACCTGCTGAAGGCGTCTGCGTTCAGGCGGGTGCGTCTCAAACACGAGGGGTGTCCTTGGAGAGGTGCGGTTTCCTCCGAAGAGCACAGAGGCCGTGGGGCCCTCTCAGATGCTGGGGTTTCTGGGAGCAGAGCCCTCTGGCTCCAGCTTCTCTGGCAGGGTCTCAGCACCCCAGCAGACTTCCTACCACTGAGGGTCCTTGAAGGATATGCTGGCCTGGGAGGAGACAGGGGTCCCTTTCAGCCCCACCCTAGGCTGAGGACCCCCTCCCCCTGGGGCCAAACCTGGGACCAGTTGGGGGCAGTGATGGGACTGGGTAGAGCCCAGGGCAGTGTCCCCTCAGGGCACATCTCTCCACCCAGATTTTGGGTTCAGCATGGTCCTCTGAGGTGTGGACCCAGTGCTACCTGGGACGGGGGAGGCGGGACTCCCCAGGCCCCAGCACCCTCGAGACCTGGCCCTGCTGCTGTCTGCAGGCCCGAGACCAGAAGGTGGCTGGAGACCTGGAGGAGGCCCGGCGTTTAGGCTCCAAGGCCAAGTGCTACAACATCCTGGCGACCATGTGGGCCTTGGTGCCGCCCCTGCTGCTCCTGGCGCTGGTGGTGACTGGTGCCCTGCACCTGTCCCGGCTGGCCAAGGACTCCGCCGCCTTCTTCAGCACCAAGTTTGACGACTCAGACTATGACTGACAGGCTGGCCCGATCCCTGTCCTGACCCAGAGACCCCGACCCCAGGACACCGACTGCTCTAGGGCCTGGTGCCCACCCCCCAGCTCCAAGTTGGGCACCTAATGCTGACCCCAAAGATGCCCTTTTGGACCCCAGGGGCTTCACCCTAACCTTGATGGTCCTCGGTCCCCTCCCTCCCTCCCCCAGCCGGACCCTCTCTCCCCACTTACCAGGCTCAGCCTGGGTTTCACAATTAAAAGTGCCTGGTTCCAGAAGGTGCCATCTGGGCCTGTTCCTGGTGGGTGGGGGAGGGTGTCCTCCTGAGGGGAGCCACCCAGGGACACGCACAGCCAAACTCCCCGCATGAACCACGGCATCGAGGGCGGGTCGCCCGTTCTGATGTCCTGCTTGCGGCTATGGTCTCCGACTGTCCCCTTGGCGCTGGGCGGCCTGTGGCTTCTGGGCGGAGGCGCCTGAGTGTTTTGGAGTCAAGTTTGGAAACTCAAGCTTTTCATCTCCGCTGCCCTGCTGGGCACTGTGGTTTAGGGGCCTGTCTTCAGACATGAGTGGGGCGTCTCGGATTCCGTGTGAGCCTGTCCCGTCTGTGTGCGTGCATGCGTGTTCGTGCATGTGTCTGCATGCCAGGTAAGTGGGAGACCCTGGCCCGTGAGAGCCCTCCCGTGTGTTCCTGTCTGTGGGCCACTGTGTGGGTCCCTGTGGATTCTGAGAGATCTCATCTCCTGCGGCGGCCGGTATGGCTGGACACGCGCACACAGGGTGGTCATGCCGTCCTCCATGCACACACCTCACTCATGCTGACAGGACCATCCCCACCCACACAGTTGTGCAGAGAGGGGGAATTGGGGCTGAGGACGTTTCCTGAGCATCTTCGGTACTCCCTTGTGCACCCCCTGAACCAGTGGTCTGGTAGAGGGGGTTGTTAACCACATGCACACACCCTGTGTGGCTGGGGTGAGGTCCCCTGGGCCTTGCTGTGGCCAGGCCAATGACAGGGCCAGCTAATTGCAGGGGCCTTAAGCACAGGGTGGCTCAGGGTTTTGAACAACCCGCCCAGGTCCTTTCTGTCCCCAGGGAGCCCCTTTGCCTGCCCACTCCGCCTGGGCTGGGGTGGAGGTCTGTTTAACTGCTATACTTGGAGTCCCCAAAGCATCCCCTCCCCAACCCCCTGCGACACCCAACAGCTGGCCCAGCTATACCCAGCCTGCCAGCGACAGCGCCCCAGCCTCAAGCTGAGGGTCTGTGCTGGCCTGAGCCAGCCCCCAGAGCAGGCAGAGATGTGTGCTGGCAGGGCCTTAGGATGGAGCCGCTGCACTGGCCAGTCCCATGTCGGACCAAGGACCAAGGCGGTGTCTTGGGCCGTATGGAGGCAGCCGGACAGCCCTGAGCTCTAGGTTTGGCTCAAGAAGGAACCCACCCCCCACCCATGCTGGATAGAGGCTGGGAGCAGGGTGGCCTGTGTGGCCAGGTACATGTCCCCAGCATGGGATGGTCTGTGGGTTGTGAGGGGAGTGAAGCTTGTCCAGCCCTTGCCCAGGTGTGAGGACAGAGTGTGCGGTCAAGCCGGGGGGGGGGGGGGGAGGGGATAAGATCATCAGCACCCAGGCTGCATCCTGGGCTGGCTGAGGGACCCCGATCAAGTTCAGTCCATTGGCTGCCACGGGCCCTGAGCCCAGCACATAGGCATTGCCACCCCCAGCCCTCAGAGGGTCACCCTGTGTGGACGCAGGTGGCATGCACCTGCAGCAGTGTCCTCCCAGGGCTGCACCCCACTGAACGCGTGTTCACCTGGCCGCAGGCCCGCTGCACTGGGGCTGCCCCTGCTGCTTCAGCACACCTGTGGGGCCTCAGACAGTGAAGGAGAGCCCGTGGCACCTGAGACCCCCCCGCAGGGCCTTGGGGAGCTGGCACTGACACATGGGCTGGTCTGCAACTTGGCCCCCTCCCTCGGAGGGTACTCTGCCCCATGTGCTGCCCCCAGCCCCCCACAGCTACACAGCTGGGCTTGGGATCCCCCACGCCTCCACCCACCCCAGTTCACTGGCCTGGCGTCTGCTTCCTGGAGAACCTGGACTACCTCTCTCCAGAACACACTTGCCAGAGGGAGGGGGTTGGGAGGGGCAGGCGATGGGACCCACCTACTCACTCCAAGCAAGTTACTGGCTGGAAACTCGGTCCATTCACACCCTCTCCAGAAGCAGCCGGTCAGCCCCTCCAGCAGACAGCCCTGACTGACCCCTCAGGCATAGGCAGTGCCCTCCCCAGGCAGATGCCACTTCACCTCAATCCCTGCAAACCCGAGGACCCGTTTGATGTGCCAACTGCAGGGCTCGGGCCCCAGCGGAAGCTGGGCAGAGCCTCCAGCCCAGAGCAGCCGGCCCCGGACAGATGGGCCCAGGGCCGTAGCCTTGAGCCCGTGTATACTGGGCTGGGTCCTTCCGCTGGGGAGAGAAGGTACGGGGACTTGCTCCACACCCCGCCTGGCTGAGGAAAGGCGGTGCCGGGCTTGTCCGACTGAAGTGGCCCAGAGGCAGAGGAGTCAAGGACCCACGACAGCCAAGAACACCTGGACCAACCATGACTGACTCTCAGTATCGTGAAATAAAGTTCTTTGTGGTGTAGCTGCAGCTGAGACCCATTCCGCAGGGCGAACCCCCCGACACCCTTCAACCCCGAGGCCCCCCACACCCAGGCCTGAGCCTGCCTCCCAAGCAGAGCTGTCTGCCAAGCCCCACGCCGCTGGGGAAGGGCCTCGAGGCCTGGCAGGTGCCGGTGTGTGGGAAGCAATGGGTGAGCCTCCGTCCGTCCGTGGGGCTTAGGCAGGGAAGGAGCTCAGACCAGACGCAGTCCTGAACTTCAGGCCAACGAGTCCAGACCTGTGCTGGAGCCCATGAGCGTGGCTGCCAGCTGAGGGTGGGTGGGAGGCAGACGGCAGGCCAGGGGGGCGACCAAGAGGAGAGGGTGCAGCCAACTGGGGCCCCCACATAGGAAGTGCCACAGGGGAGGACCTGAGAGACGCCCCTAAAGCCACTAGCACTGGTGGGTCAGGGGCAGGGCCCAGGACAGCACCAGGCAGGGGTTCTGTGGGGCTGGAAGGCCCCAAGGTGTCCCAGAGGGGATGCTGTGGGCTCCAACGTCTTCAAAGTTCTTCCCGGATATTCTTGGAGCAGAACTTGCTGCCTCTGCTTCCTACGAGAGTGACCTTTGTATCCGGCCAGCGGAGCAGGGGAAGGAGATCTTGTGTCCTGCAGGGAGAAGGGGCCACCCTGGGGGTCACAGGTGCTGGGCTTTTAGGGGGGTCGGGGGTAGTAGCCTACCTAGGGGCAGGGGGAGCCGAGCCCGTGATGGCCACAGCTCGACCTCCAGTGGGGGTGCCTGGGGTCCTGCTCGGGTGCGGAGCTGGACCGTCACCAAGCCCTCAGAGAACGAGAAGTGAAGCCTGTTCCCCTGGTAGGAGATGCCGGAGACACACACGCCAGAGACTCCCGCCGGACACATGGGGTCAAAGGTCACACCAGCCCTGGTGATCCTGGGAGAAGGGGAAGGTCCTGAGGAGGGCCAGCAGGGGCAGGTGACCACCTCCTGCAGGTCACCCCACTCACCTGAACCCTGTGACCCCAAAGAGCACCGCCTGCAGGAAGCCCCCCATGCCTGTCAGGAAGTTCACGGCACCGGACCCGTCTGCATTCTCCGTCCACACCTGCAGGGCGAGGCGGTCAGTGCCAGGGTCCCAGGCTCAGGCCTTCCCAGGTCACTTCCCAGGGCTGGGCCCCACTGCCACCCCCAGGGCCGGAGCAGGAGGCAGGCGCCCGGGGGGGGTCGAGGCTGGCCGCTGGCCTTGAAGGGCTCGGTGACGTTGCCGAAGCTCCTCTCCAGGAGTGTCCACGCCCGCCCGGCGTCCCTCAGCTCCATCCAGCCCACGGCAAACATGCTCTGCAGTCAGAGGTCAGGACGCGTGGGGTGAGGTCCACTGCAAGAGGCCAGTGGGCAGGGCTGGGGCACTGAGAGGACCACCACACATCTCACCCAGGTCATGGCGGGGCCTCGAGGGGATGTCACAGCCTCGTAAATTTCCAGGTTTTTCCTGCGAACTTGAGGATTCAGGGAGAAGGGGACAGGGTACCCCAGGAGCACCACATCTGCCTGTTTCACTTCCTCTCCTGGGGGGAGACAGGTGCTGCTGATGGGGGGAGGGGGCTCTCGGGTGTCAGGAGGGAGAGGGGCCTCCAAGGAGCTCTGAATCCACTCACCAGGCTCGTACCCATCAAACTCGGGGTGGAAGTTCTGCTTCAGGTCAAAGGGCACCTTGATCTTATCAGCCACCGCCAGCCACTGGCCAGGGACAGGCTGACCCAGGTCCTGGGCCAGGGCAGCAGCAAACCGAAGGCTAGGACAGAGGCAGGGAGGGGCTGCGCTCTAGCCTTCTTGGTTGGCTCCCCCACAGTGGGGCTGGGGGGGGGGTCTTGGATCTGACCTGTTCTGAACCAGGACATTGGTGTACACGGAGTTGTTAACCCCTGAATGGTACTCGTCGGGGGGCATGACTCCTGGGCACAAAGGGCAATATGATGATTAGTGCAGGGTCTCAGACTTGCCCAATGCCACTGGTCAGGGTGGGGCTGGCCAAGAAACAGCCATTCCCCCCCACGACCGTCTACCCTCCCCCACGACCTTCTACCCTCCCCCATGACCATCTACCCTCCCCCACAACCTTCTACCCTCCCCCATGACCATCTACCCTCCCCCACAACCTTCTACCCCCCCACGACCATCTACCCTCCCCCACAACCTTCTACCCTCCCCCATGACCATCTACCCTCCCCCACGACCGTCTACCCTCCCCCACGACCGTCTACCCTCCCCCACGACCTTCTACCCCCCCACGACCATCTACCCTCCCCCACAACCTTCTACCCCCCCACGACCATCTACCCTCCCCCACAACCTTCTACCCTCCCCCATGACCATCTACCCTCCCCCACGACCGTCTACCCTCCCCCACGACCGTCTACCCTCCCCCACGACCTTCTACCCTCCCCCATGACCATCTACCCTCCCCCATGACCGTCTACCCTCCCCCACGACCTTCTACCCTCCCCATGACCTTCTACCCTCCCCCATGACCGTCTACCCTCCCCCATGACTGTCTACCCTCCCTCATGACCTTCTACCCTCCCCCACAACCTTCTACCCTCCCCCATGACCATCTACCCTCCCTCATGACCTTCTACCCTCCCCCATAACCGTCTACCCTCCCCCATGACTGTCTACACTCCCCCATGACCTTCTACCCTCCCCCACGACCATCCACTCCCCAGCATGAGCGTCCACTCCCTGCCATGCCCTCACCCTTCAGGTGGTACTGCTCCTCTGCAGGGCACCACTCCACACGGCTGCACCAGAACTCGGCCACAGCACTGACCACGTCCCAGCCACCAGCCTCTTTGAAGAGCTGCAGGTCCTGGGGGAGCAGGGGGTCAAACAGAGGCCACGGCACCCACGATTCTGGTTCCCAGTGGGCGCTGCCTTGCTTGCCAACGTCCACCGTTCCAAGCATCCCCAGGTGAAGGCCTAGCTCCAGACAGGAAGTCCCAGACAGTGGGGGTGGGCACGGCAGTGCCTACCTGGGTGCTGTAGTAGTACAGCTGGAAGGCCAGCACCACGGCCCCGTTGATGTGGACTTCCTGGGTCCCGTACACGTCCTCGGGGCAGACCTCCAGGCCAGAGCCGGCGCTCTCCCAGGCGAACTTGGCTCCCTGAGGGTGGGGGATGTCACAGACCTGATTCTGTCCTCGGGGCCTGGGCGGGGGCATTGGAGGACCCCACACATTTCCCAACACTCTCAGCCTACAGCCAGAGAGGGCAGAGGTGGGGGCACCAACTTCCCGGGTGTCCTTGTGGGTGCCTGCTGGCTGAGTAGCCACTGCAGGTCCCCAGTGTAGGCCAGGTGGTCTCTGCCCGGTTTCCATCATGTGCTGCCCCTGCCCAGGGCAGTGAGAGCCCCCAGCTAGGTCCCAGCCAGGCTGTTGCTCCCACCTGTACAATGCTGAGCCCCTGTAAGAATCCAGGGTGCCCCGGGCCCCCACAGAGAGGGGTCTGGCAACATCAAGCCCTTGGAAGGGACCTAGCAGGCTGGGTACTCAGGTCCCTCACCGGGTAGCCCAAGTTCCGGGCGTTGTCCAGGGCTCCACCCAGCGTCTGGATGCGGTACTGCAGGAGAGCCCTGGCAGCCTCTGGCTGGAACAGGAGGACATTGGGGAACATCCAGAGATCCTGAGTACAGTGGATGGGTCTCTTGTCAGCTCTGGCACCCTTCTCGCCCCGCCCCTTTTCTGCCCCGGTGGGCCTCAGACAGCACAGCTCCTGGCTGCCCACCTGGGTGTGTCCCAGGCCCTCCCCACCTGCCCACCACACATCCCCATCTCCAACTCAGACCCTCTGGTGCCCAGCTCAGCGCTTCACCTACCGGTGTGGGCCACCTGGAGTGGCACCTGCTTCGCTGTTTGCTGGCTGCCTGACTTGGAATGAATGACGCAGGCTCTCCAAGCCCAAGGGTGAAGTGTGCTACAGCGTCAGCTTCTCTGGACCCTCCCGTGCCCACTGGTCACCAATCCCAGCTTCTGGCTCCCACTCCTAGCCAAGGCCTCACTGTCTGCCACCCACATCCCCTCAGCAGCTGTGAGGGTCCTTCCAGAACATCCACCTGTCTGTGTTGCTCCCCAGTTCAAAAGGCTCACGCGCCAGCAGCCCCTCTACAGCTGCTCTTCCTGCTCGGTGAGCCCCTCCCGACTCTGGCCAGATGCCATGCACTCTCCCAGCTCTGGGACTTTGTACCCTCTGGTCCTCTTGCCTGAATCACTTTTCCATAAAACTCCCACACATCCTTCGGCCAAGACAGCACCTCCTCCAGGAAGCCCTCCCCTTTGCCATGGCCCCTGTGCTTCCCCCACCACAGCCCCTTTCTAGGCAGTGTGCCTCCCACTGTGTGGCAGGTGCAGGCTGGGCGTGGGGGGTGCCCACCTGGTCCCAGAACACATGGCCCCAGTAGCATTCCTCGCGGCTCCCGTTGGAGAGGCCGCCAGGGCTGAGTCCATGGCAGACATATCCTGGGACCCCGGCCTCGGGCAGGGCGCTGAGCAGGTAGTAGAGGGCACCACGCAGGGCCTGGCGCAGAGGCAGGGGCCCCACCACATCCAGGCCACAGGCTTCCCAGAGTTGGGCCCAGGCCTGGACGTGGGCAGTGTACAGAGCACCCCCCGCCTGCAGCTGCTGGGCCTCAGTGAGGCAGGCCCGGGCCTCCTCCTGGCTGCTGCCCACCACGGTCAGGAACTCCCAGGTCCTATCCTCTTCGCCCTCCCCAAGGGTCAGGGCTGGGGGCACTGGAGTCCACAGCATGTGCACCTCCTGCTGTGACCCCCCAGGCTGCTCAGGGGTGAGTGTGCGGCCATACAGGTACCTGCAAGAGCACGGCTGTGTCTCAGGGCCAGGCTTCATCCCGGACCACCTGCTGGCCCCTAGCCCCTTCCTCACCGGGCTCCCTGGACATCAGGACCCAGGTGCAGGTCCAAGTCCGGGCTTTCTGGGGAGAAGGCAGACCGCAGGAGCACCGTGATGGGCCAGCTCCCCGCAGCCAGGCGGGTGATGGACACGCTGAAGGCCAGGACGTGCGGCAGTGTGCGGTGGGCATAGATGCACTGCGAGGCCCGGAAGCGGGAGGCCCCCAGAGTGTGCAGAAAGGAGCCTGGGCGGGCAGAGGGGAAGACAGGCGCATCACACGCCTGCCCCATGTAGGGACAGCGAGGACAGTCACAAAGCTGCTGGCCTTTCTGTGCGGGCAGTGGAGTCCACCTCTCCCCTCAGTGAGGTGGACCCACCTCCGGAGCCCAACTGCCCTGTGTCGGAAGCTCCGGCCGCTGTGGAGACCCCAGGCCCCTGCCAATCAGGAGTCCCCCCACCCTCTGCCAGTTTGCAAGGCAGACCCCCAGGGACTCCTTTTCTTCCAACCGGGCATCCTGAGCTAGGACGTGCCAGGATAGGACCGCTGGGGGTTCCCCACTAACCTGGAACAAGGGCAGGGGGTGGTGGGCAGGACCGGCAGTGGCTACCTGTGTTAGTGTCCAGGACAAAGGTCGTGGTCAGCTGCTCTCCCGTCCCCGCGGGGGCCTCCAGCTGGACGTTGAGGGGACTGGGCAGAACGGCTCGGTGTGTGTCCCCCAAGGCCCCGTTGTATACACCATTCACGTGCAGGGTATCCTGATACACGCGTGTGCCCAAGTACGCGTTGGTCACGGTGGCCCAGAGCCGGGGGTCACTGGGCAGAGAGTGGGCAGTGAACATGGTGGGGTCTTCACCGGCATCCGCCATGGGAACGCCTCTGTGTTCTCCGCGAACGCCTCTCCTGGGGGCGGGGTGGAGCGGGGTGTGGGGAGGGCAGTCCCGGGTGCTGGAGGGGCTGTGGGGGCGAGAGGCCGGCCGGAGCCCTGGGAGGGGTCGCCTCCGTGTCTGCGGTCACCGGAGCCCGGCCGCGACGCTCAGGGCCCCAGGGTCGGAGGGAGAAGTAGCCTGTAGCCGCCGTGTCAGCGGAAGGCGCCGGAGTCCCCGCCCCCGGGGCGGAACGGGCAGGCGGTCCCCGGGGCGGGGCGGGCAGCTGGTCCCCGGGGCGGGGCGGGGCGGGCGGCTGTTCCCTGGGGCGGAGCGGGGCGGGGCGGGGCGGGGCGGGCGGCTGGTCCCCGGGGCGGGGCGGGGCGGGGCGGGGCGGGCGGCTGGTCCCCGGGGCGGGGCGGGGCGGGGCGGGGCGGGGCGGGGCGGGGCGGGCAGCTGGTCCCCGGGGCTGAACGGGCAGGCGGTCCCCGGGGCGGGGCGGGCGGCTGGTCCCCGGGACGGGGCGGGGCGGGCGGCTGGTCCCCGGGGCGGAGCGGGGCGGGCGGGCCGGCCCTGGGCAGAGGCCACTCAGGCCCCAGGCGGACATCGGACTGGTGGGTTGGGCTGCAACCCCAATACCCACGCGTGAGGCTGCGTGATTCGGTCTGAGGACCTGGTGTGACAGATGCGGGATGTGGCTGGAGGAAACCTGTCTGAGAAACACAATGCCATCTTTGTCCTCAAAGATGTCTCCTGGGGTGGATCTGAGCCGGGCAGGTGCTTTTGGCCTGGTCTCTCCCTCCTGTCTGCCCTGTAGGAGAGGCCAGGTGTCCTCCTGCAGGGGCGTCCTTCTCTTTGCCCCCCGGGCCCCCTTTGGTTCTCCGCAGCCTCTTCCCCTCATGGCCTCCGTCTCCCCTACCTGCCCACTTTCCCACCTGGACACTCCAGGCTCAACCCGGGGCCTGTCACCCTCGTCTCTCACACCTGGGCTGACTCAGATGTCTGACCCAGCCAAGGACACTCAGATTCAACATGCTTCCTGAAGCGCCCTTCTGGCTGCTCCCCCAGCACAGGCAAGGGCCACACCGCTCACCCAGCTGCCCAGGCCACCTGTGTCCCCACACCCACACCCACCCGCCAGACCTGCCTGCTCGCACCGTCCCCCAGTGACCTCCTGGGTTAGCTCACCCCATGCTTTCTGCTTCTGCTCTGCCCTGCGGGCCTGAGAGTGGTGAGGTCAGACCATGCCTTCTGCTCAGAGGCCTGCAATGGTGCCCACCTCGCTGGGAGGACAAGTGCGAGGTCCCCTCCTGAACTCCAGCCGGTCAGCCCGGCTTCCTTCCACTTCTGCCACATTCAGACATTCTGAGCGTGCTCCCTGCTGTGGACTGAAGGTTCGTGTTCCCCAAGTCTGTCTGTTGACATCTAATCCCAAATGTGGTGGTATTTGGAGGTGAGGTAATTAGGTAGTTCAGAGGTAATTAGGTCACAAGCCATCAAGGATGGGACAAGTGCCTGTCTAAGAGGCCAGGAAGCGAGCAAGGTCTCTACCCCATGAAGACGGGAGAAGCCATCTGCAACCAGGAACAAGGTTCTTGCCAGACACGGCACTGACTGGCCCCTTGGCTCTGGATTTCCTAGCCTCCAGAACTGTGGGAAATAAGTTCCTGTTGTTGATAACTCCCCAGCTCATGGTATTTTGTTATAGCAGCCGGAGCTGGCCTAGATGCTCCCCTCATGGCCTTGGCACTTACCTGCTCCCTATGGCCTCTTTTCTTCAGGGTGTCCTCAGGACCCCTGTCCTCCATTAGGTTTCCCAGCCCCTTACAGGTGACAGGAAACCCTTGGCTCGTTTCCCCCCTCCCTTTGCTGTTTCACCCTCCCCCAGTGTTTTGGTCTGTTTCCTGCCAGAAGGGCAGCTCCAGGAGGGCAGGAATTTTGTCCATTTTGTGGAAAGAATGAGTAGATTTGGAAGTCGATTATGGAAAGGCATTTCCTCTGTGAAACGGAGGGGACCCGGGAGTCAGCCCCTGCACCTGGACAGGGGTCTCAGGAGCTGGCCAGGCCCAGCAGGTGTTGAGCAGAGAAGACTTGCAGACTTGAGGCCTGTCCATTGCTGACCTGTCCATCAAGCCTCAGAGCTTCTTGCAGTCAAGCTGCTCCCCTGAGCCTCAGTTTCCTCATCCATGAAATGGGGTTACAGCCCTGCTCCATACAGATGAGTTAGGCACCAAAGGTAAGATGGCCAGGATGTCCGTCCAAGCGCAACAGAAACCAACAAACGAATGCAGAGGAGAATTTATTACCAGCAGACGGGGGCTGCCCGACCTCCACACCATCACAGCCATCATCCAGAGTCGGGCCACTGGTCCCAGTTCCCAAACACCTCAGACAGTGAATGACACCTCTGGGCTCGGCCACACAGACTCAGGGATGGCTTCACTTCTAATGTCCAGACCCAAATTCCTGGGGAAGGATGGTGACCTGCCTACCTCTGGTCAAGTCTCACCAGAGGCAGAATTGTGGGGCCGTGGGGCCCATATTGCAGATGGAAACAGGGTCAGCGAAGGTGTGACTCTGCGCCCAGCATACCAGGTCAAGGTCAACACACGGCAGGTGCTCAGTGACTGGGGGCTCTCAGCACCATTATTGTTGCGGGGCGGGGCATCTGCAAGGGATGGCTAAAGGGTCTCAGGAGAGGAAGGTGGGTGGAGCCCAGTGCAGGTTCTGGGGAGGAGTGTCTTTGACTGTCCCCAGGGTGTGGGGGAAGGTGCATATCCTGGGCCTTGTCAAAGACCAAGGAGGGGCCATGCCCATCTGTGCCTGGCCCCGCCTGGCCAGTGCCACCCTACCCTCAGAAGGGGAGACCTGCTTCAGCGGCCGACTGGAGTCCTGGCTCTGCGGGCCTCCAGGGCCTCAGAAGGCCATGTCGAATTCCTTGGGAGGCTCAGGGTGGTTATCCAGCGCTGCGTGGGTGATGGTCAGGCCTGGCCTTGCTGTCCTCACAGCCTGCAGCTCCCCCAGTGACTGCTCGCTCAGCTCCACGCAGGTCAGACTGCAGCCACACACACAGGAGGGAGCCAAAGAAGTGATTGGGAGGGAAGGAGAGTCCTGGGGGGTGGGGCAGTGATGGGGCTGCTGGCCTGGGCTGTGACAAAGGTGCTCAGTGACAGAGGGTGGCCCGTCAGGGCTTTCAGAGGCTGGAGAAAGGGGGCAGGAGCTGGGGGCCAAGCATCTGGGGAGTAAGAAGGTGTTGGGATCATTGACCCTGACTGTGGCCAAGGGCACCAGACAACAGAGTGGTCAAGGCCAAGGGTGGGGCAAGGGCTTTGGAGAGGGCATCTCCAGGGACCTTGGGAGGGGCTCCTCTTCAGGGTCTAGGGGAAAGCTCCAAATACCCACCCACCCAGGCTTCAGAGGTGTGTCCCAGCACCCTGCCCACCCCTGCCTGCACCTGAGGGTCTGCAGGCGGCATCCTGGGTGCTGTAGGACCGCACACAGGTGGGTCACCATGGGTCCCGACAGCTGGCAGCCACTGAGATCCAGGGTGGTCAGCGAGGGGCTGTGCTGGAGCACACTAGCCAGGTACTGGACGCCTTCCTGGAGGTCGGGCTGCAGCAGCCTGGGGGAAGGTTGGCCTCAGGAGCTGCTGTGGGGGCCCCACCCTCCCTTGATGCCTCCCAGGCCCAGCCTCACCTGAGTGTCTGCACCCGGCACCTGGGCCAGACCAGGCCCTGGCTCAGCACGCGCAGACCTCCCTGGCTGAGCCCATTGTGGAGGAGGCACAGCTCGGTCAGGGCGGGGGCCTCCCTCAGGGCCGTGGACAGGTCGTGGCACACGGAGTCTGGGAGTCTGCAGCGGGACAGCCTGTGGTCCAGAAGCACATGGTCCGTCTCAGGCCCCTCAGCCACCTGGCTGCTCCGTGGGGACTGAGCTCCAGCTGCAGATGCGCCAGCTCTCGGCCCCCTTGCCTTTGTCACCATGTGTCTCCCTGGGGGGCATGGCCACAGTGCACACCCTGGACCACGTGCCGGTCTTCCTTAGGCCATGAGCTTTATGAGGTGTCCGTACAGACCTCACGCTCCACACATTTACCTCCACAGAATTGTCCCTCAAGGTGAGGTGGGTCGCAGTTTAGTCAGCTGGTCCCTAAACGTGTTGCCTGTACATTTTTGGCCGTTGTAAATACATGCTGTGATGAACACCACTGTGTATCCAGTTTAGCGGTAGGACGGACGAGCCAGGTGTGCTGATCACCTTGGCTCCGGTGTGTGCTTCCAGGTCACTGGAAATACCACGTGAACAAAGCTGCCGCGTGGTGGTGGCAGGACTGCGCCCTCCCGCCGAGCGCCACCAGCGCCCGCTCCTGTGTCTGGCTGCTCACTGGGCGCAGCTCACAGTGGGGAGAGGCAGGGCGTGCTCAGCGCCTGTGCCTGTGTGGCCTCACAGATTCTCTCCCAGGTCAACTCTCTGGCTCCATTTCACGGGAGAGGGGCCTGGAGCTTGTCCCAGGCCAGAGGCTCTGCCCCACCTCCTCCCCTGCTCCCCTGCCCAGAGGGGCTGCCTGGCAGTTTCATGCAGGCGGAGCAGCCTCAGGTGGGTGGGAAACACATTCTGGTCCCCTCCATGCCCCACCATGTCCAGCTGCGCCCCATTCCCACTCGAACCTGGTGCAACCCCTTCCTAATTAGCACCTAAGCTGGTGATGTCCCCTGCCCCTCCCCTCTTGTGCCAGTGTGGGCAGAGCCTGTCGACCCAGCAGGGACACCAGAGGCCACGGCCCATCCCCTCAGCCCTCCCCAGACAGGGCCACACCTCTGCCCTTCCCAGGGCATCCTGCTCTGTGTCCCTTCCAGGGGAGGGGCTCGGACATGGTTACTCACGTTAGGCTGGTCAGACCACACTGCTTGTCGGTCATGGCTTCACAGAGCGGCCGCAGTGAGGAAGCCTGGGGTTTTTTCGTGGTGGCTGGGGGATCCCTGGGAAAGAGAGGAGATGAAGCCCCCTGGCTGCTGCAAGTCCCTCCCTCCCCTCTTTCCTCTGTCCTCACCCCAAACCCAGAGTGAAACCTCTCATCTGTGGCCCCATGCACCTCCCTGTTGAAGTCAGCTAAGTGTGTCCAGTGGGGGCCAGTCACCTGCATCCCCAGTGTGGGTCTCTCTGCTGCTATGGGTGTCCCCAGCCCCGTCGATGCCCTGACACCTGGGTCAGGTACTGGGCTGGAGCTCAGTGCCAGAAGCAATGACACGAGCCTTGCTCTGGAGCAGCTGAGGGTGAAGGAGACAGGCATGGACAGATGTCATGGCAAACGGTGGTCAGTGGGGCAGTTCAGGGCCTGGGAGGGCGCAGGCCAGCGGGGTAGGCAGCAGTGCTCTGGGTGGACAGACAGCAGGTGCAAAGGCTGAGGGCACTGGAGGCCTGGTGTATTCCAGAACTCATTATGAAAGAGCACGGCAGGGGGCTGGTCGAGGGCTATGTAGCCATGTCACAAGGTGTGCCTTGGATGTGGGTGGCTGAGGGTATTTGGGGGTGGTCAGGAAAAGAAACCTGGGGGAAGATGGGCGCTGGGAAGCTGTCTCACAATGGGGTGGGCAAAACCAGCCCTAAAGTCCTTCCTCTGGTGTGGGAGCGGGACAGGCTCCCCGTGCCCAGGTAGACACAGGCCTGAAGGGGTGCCCACAGGGTGGGGCTGCACCCCAAGACTCACGAGCTGCTGCTCAAACTGCTCTGCAGTCGCTTCATCAGGCTCTTCTTCTTCTTCTTCTGCACCGGGGGGAGCGTACAGCTCACCAGCCGCAGGGCCTGTCCTGCAGGGCAGCACCGTACGCAGTAGCTCAGGACAGTCATGTCCATGCGGCTGAAGCGCCAGCGCTCCAGCGCCAGCTCAGGGAGGCCCCGCAGGGCGTGGCGAACGAAGGCAGTCTCCTGCGTTTCATACAGACAATACAACAACTCCAGCGGGAAGTTGGCCTCCTCCTCCTCCCCGTCCTCCTCTTCCTGCTCCTCGGACTCCTCGGAGTCCTGGAGCGCGTCACTCTCCTTGGCTCCTTTTGGCGCCACTCTAGGGCACCCCTGGCCCTGGTCCTGCACCCACTTCAAGACATCCTGCTTCACGCGCTCTGAAACTACGCAGCCAAAGTGGTGCTCAATGTCGCGCATCCGCTCCAGGCTCAGCAGTCCGAAGAGGAAGCGCGTGGTGAGCGCGAGGTGGCAACGCAGCTCCGGGTCCCCCCGCAGCAGCTCTCCGACTCGGACAGCCGGTGCCCCGGGGGCCCCCTCGTCCTCCAGCAGGTAGGATAGCGCAGCGAAGAACTCCTGGAAGCTATGGTCAGTGAACTGGTAGGTGACCTCGGCCTGGAGCACGCCTGGTAGCTCTTTCTTGATGAGAAACAGCATCTGGACTTTGGAGCCATGCAGCTGCAGTCTTTCCAGATCCTTCTCAGTGAACTGTGCTCTGTGCGCCAGAACGCCCTCGCGAGCCAGGCGGCACAGCTTGCGCAGCTCGCCTTGTATCCGGGGTCCGGCGGCGGCGGGCGCCGAGCTCAGGAGGCTGGCGATGAAGAGCAGGTACACGGACGTCGTGGTCTTGGAGGTGCGCGACAGGTCTTGGCCAAGCTCCAGCTGCTGGCGCAGAACGGTGCACACGATCCAGCACACGAAGGGCACGAAACACAGAGAAAACAGCGTCTCGTTCTCCTTCACGAAGCGGTAGGCACGCTCCGCCCTCCACTCGTCCTGGAAGAACTTGTAGAAGTACTTCTTCTTGTCCTTGTCGGAGAAGCCCCGCACTTCGGCGCACTGCGGGGAGCACAGGCGGCCCTGCAGCCTGCCCGGGGCGGCGGTGCGCGTGGTCACCAGCAGGCGGGCTTGGGGCAGCAGCACTTTGCTCAGGAGGCCTCCCAGCACCCGCGCGCCTCCTGCGGCCTCGAAGGGGTCCGTGCAGGGCGCGGCCTCGTCCAGCCCCGGTAGTTCGTCCGCGCCGTCCAGGATGAAGAGCAGCCGCTCGGACACTGCGAGCATCTGCCGCACAGGCGCGCCGCGGTCCGGACACTGGGCCAGGATCAGGTCGGCCAGGCTGCAGGTGCCCGGTCGCTCCAGCAGTTCTCTGCAAGGCATGAAGAAGGCGAAGTCCACTTGGCCATGGTACAGCTTACCTGCCGCCCAGTCATACAGGATTTTCTTGGCTGCCATGGTCTTGCCGATGCCCGCCGGGCCCTGCAGCACCACGGTCAGCGGGCGCTGGCCGTCCTCGTCGCGGCCGAACAGGCGGTTGAAGGTGTGGGTGTCCGAGCGCCGAGCGCGCTCCGGCTCGGGCTCCGCCGCGGGCCCCAGGGCCTCGCGCTCCAGGGCAGCGCTCTCGGGCGCGATGAGCAGCTTGGTGAAGCGCTTGTTGATCTTCACCGAGCGGGCGTTCCTCTCCTTCACCTTGGCGTGCTGCCGCAGCACGTGCTCCCGGTACTTCTTCCTGTACTCTGGGGTGGGGGCGAGGGCGGGGAAGGGGGACGGGGCGGGCTGAATCAGCGGGCCCTCGGTGCCGCTGCCCTCCCCACCCGGCTCAGGACTCCGTTTCCCCTGCTGCACCACAACCCCCTCGCCGCCGGCCCTCCCAAACCCGCTCGCTCCTCCCTGGGAGCATCTGTCAGAACCAGACCGGCTGAGGGCACCCGGTGCTCCAAGCCTGGGCTCGGGGCTCCCCCGCACCTCCCGTCCTGAGACCTACCGGACACGGAGAGCAGCGCCGAGGAGCTGGGACCGAGCCCTGGAAAAAGGGAGACCCGCCGTGAGACCACTGAAGGCGCCCAGCAGGGGCGCAGTGGGGGCTCATGACCACCCTCAAGGGCACCCGGTGTCCCAGCCCTGGGGCGGGTGAATCTGTGGATGAAGTTTGCGGGGCAGGAGAGCGTGCCGGGCTTTTCTGGGGAAGTGGGAGGGATGGCGGCCCGTGTCCCGGCCTCTGCCCAGACGACCAGGAGCGGAGGGTGGGGACCCAGCGCCGCGCTCACGCTGCAGCCGCTGCTCCTTGAGCCTGGCGGCGACGTCGCGCACGTCCGCCCTCTTCAGGGTCTTGCGGGCGACGTCCAGGGCGGGCTCCGGCCCATAGAAATGGGTCAGCTGCGTGGCCAGGTCCACGGCGTCCGCGCGCTCGAGCCGCCCCCAGGGGATGCTGCGGCCATCCTGCGGCGCGTCCCGCAGCTTGTGGCGGAAGCGCTTCAACTGCTCCTGGCTCAGGTCCTCGAGCGCGGCCAGAAGCAGCTCGCGGGCGGCGGCGGCGCGCAGCTCCAAGCTGAGGGCAGGCGGGCGGGCGAGCGGGGCTCAGCACGTGGGTGGGTCCTGAAGCCCCCCCGCCTCGCCTTCCCCGACCCCCGTGTCAGGGTGCACACGGTGAGCACGGCTCAGGCGCCACCGTTCCCCCCTGCTCTGCACGGAGGGGAGCCCTCCCCTCCCAGGACCCGGTCCGAGGCTCTGCTTCCCAGCGTGTCGCCGCCTGGTGGTGAGGGGGCGCACTCCAGGGCAGGTACTGGATGCCCGCGACCCAGGTCCTCAGGGGTGCCTTTGGGCTTGGTGCCTTTCACACACCTGACCTGGCTAAGTCAGACGCCCTAGATGAGGTGTCTAGAACGGACAGTCCTCTCCCCTTCCCTCCCTTCTCTCCCCTGGGAGCCTGGAGCAGAGCTGGCTTCAGCAGGGAGCCGGAATCACCCCCACTGTTCCTGAATCCCCATAACATTCGTGCACACCTGCATCTGGGGGCCTTGCACAGAAGTCGGAGTCTGAGGCCCGGTGGGGAACAGACCCTGGGATGGCTCCTGGAATCCAGAGCCAGGGATGGTGGGGGAGGATGTGGATGGGGGCTGGGAGGTAGCAGGGCGAGGCATCAGGGGGCTCTAGCCAGGTCCCAAGGACACCCGGCACTCACCTGGAGCAGGCCGCTTCTGGCGGGTCCATGGTGACTGGACCCTAGGGCTAGAACTCCGGGGCAGAGGTGGGGTCAGAGAAGTGACCCTTCAGCCTCAGCCATGACCCAGGCCCAGGTGCTTTAGCTCAGCCAGCGCAGAGATGTCCGTCCAACAGTCACACAGCTCCCAAACTCAGGCTCAGTGGCGGTGTGCACCAGCACCTTTAAGAGCTCTGGTGGTGACCTTTGATTTTCTCCGTTCCTTTATTTGCTTACCCTTCCCTGAGGACCCATGGGCGTGGCTGAGCCTGTGCCCCACGGTGGGCTGCACGGAGGGGGGCTGGCTCCCAGCTAAGCCCCATTCTGAAGGCAGGGGTGAGGCAGGGCTTCCTGGGGGAGGGGACAGGACAGAGGAGGAGCTCACCGTGTGGGAGAGGAAGGCAGTCACTGAGGCCCAGAGATAACAGGGCAGAGCAGGGCTTGAGCAGGCTGGTGGGAGGAGGTTGGGCCTGAGGAGTGTGTGTGACTGAGGTGAGACCATGTGGGCCACGTGAATGGGGAGAGTCTGGAAATGCAGCTGAGAAAGGCAAGTTCTCCCCAGACTGTCTGGGGAAAGTGCGGCCAAGCCAACACCTGGATCTCCACCCAGTGAGACTGGCCTTGGCCCCCACAGCTGTAACAATGAACATGTGTTGTTTTCAGCCACCGAGTTTGTGGTAACTCACGTCTGCAGCCACGGACACGTATCGGGTGTCTGAGCGTCTTGCGAGTGGCGTCCCTCTGAAGGTGCTCTTCCGGAGCAGGCCCCCACCTGTCGCTGCCTCCCGACCCCTCGCTTTCAGACCACAGGTCACCCCTGCGCCCCTTCCTGCTTCTGTCGGACTTGGAGGAAACCCCGAGTCCGGGAGCCTCTGTTTGGCTGCCTCCTCCACAGGAAGGGGCCCACACAGGTGCCCTTTTCTCCCCATGATTTTTTTCTATTTAAGACAAGCAGACCCCAGCTCCCCTGAGTGGGGCTCGGGTTGTCGTAGGTTCCGTGTAGTCACATCAACCCCATGGTAGCCTCCCGCTCTCTCCAGCACCCTGAACTCCTGTTGGGGCCCCATCCGCTCACCTGACTGCCTTCCACATGGGGTAGCCTCCTGGGCACAGGACATGGCCAGCTCACCTCCTGGGGGGAGTGGACGCTCGGTGCTTTTAAAGAACAAATCTCGCCTGTTCCCACGGAGCTCTGTTCCCAGAGCCTTGCCCTGGGCCGGGCCTGCAGCAGGGATGAACCCCTCTCCAGACCACGATGTGGGCATCCCCCAGCAAAGCAGAGCAGTGCACAGGGTCTCCTTGGGGTCCGGGTCCTGGGGGCATCGCTGCCAGGGGGGTCTCTGATTGGCTGCCTGGTGTGCCGACATTCTGCAGTGAGCACTTGGCTAGACAACAAATGCAGAGGTTTCAGAGTTGACTGCACAGAATCTGGGCCCTGCACAGCTGGGCGGGCATGGGGGGGGGGTCTGCCCTACTCACACCCCGAGGCGCTCACACAGACGGCCGCTGTTCCTCTGGCACATGTGCTCACCTTCCTCGCGCCACAGTAGAGAGTCCTGAAAGCAAGGTCCCTGCACCATGCGCTCTCTCTGCAGTGTTGTTCAGATGAAAGCGCGGCGGCCAAGAGAGCGGTCTCCTGAGCCAGACTGTCTGGGATCACATCACTGTCCAATTACTGGGTGACTTTGGACAAGTTACTTAACTTCTCTGTGCCTCCGTGTCCCCGTCTGCACACTGGCGGGGTAGCGGCACATCAAAGCTGAGAAGAGTAAAGTAAAGCTGTAAGGCAGGTGCCGGGCATTCTGGACACTAGTCATTGTCCCCACTCCTGCCCTGTGGATGGCCCTCACTCTGAAGCTATGTTTTCTGGGGTCATTGAGAGCATCCCGAGCTCTAAACCCACTTCAGTCTGACTTCACGCCACTTAACGCTGCTGCCCACGACCTTTTCCTCGTGTTGAAGGGACCGGCAGGTGCAGGTGGGAGACAGCCCTCGGGGGGTGATGGGCTGGGGAGTGTCACCTCTGCTCTGCTGTGTTCTGACATAAGGAGCCAGGGGAAGGGTCCTGAGGCCCGTGATGTGGGGGTGCCAAGGTCATCCCCTTTCCTGACACGAACCCTCCTGGAGTGGACTGTGGGCCCTGTTACGCCCAGCACCTGGTGATAACAGCCTGGGAAGGGCCTTGATAACAGGCCAGCACTGGCAGGAACCCTTCAAGAGGTGGGCTGAGCACCGGGTGAGGGGAGGAAGCAGATGGGAGGAGAGAGGCAGGGGTGAGTGGGGGAGCCAGTGTGGCAGACTCTCTGGAGTTCTGGGCCACTTCCAAAGGTATCACTTCGAAATCTTTCACAAATAATTTGCAGTGCAGCCCTGGCCGGTTTGGCTCAGCGGTTAGAGCGTTGACCTGCGGTCTGGAGAGACCCGGGTTCGGTTCCCGCTAAGGGCATGTACCTTGGTTGCAGTTTGTCCCCGGCCCTGATTGGGTTGTGTGGGTGGCGACCACTGGATGTGTCCCTTTCACATCAGTGTTTCTCTCTCTCTCTCTCTCCCTCCCACTCTATCTAAACAAAATATCAAAAAATGTCCTCGGGTAAGGATAAAAAAAAAAAAAAATTTTTCAGTGCATTTTCAATTCCCTCCAAGGTCCTGCAGCCACATCCAGAAAGTGTCTCAGAACCATGTCCCTCTGCCTCCGCTACTCCCATCACAGATCAACACTTTCCTTGTAGAGGCTTGGTGTTTCCCCCATGCTCAGGGCAGCCGCTGAAATCTCCCCCATCTTTCTTCCATCCCCAGCTCCATGTCGGCAGACCCCCAGCAACAGGCCTGCTCCCATCCACTTCCTCTCTCCCCACTGCTCCCCCACATGCAGACACCCCACACCACTGTTCGGCAAACCTGGACCATGTCCCCTCGACTGGTCTCAGGAGCAGCACCGGAGGCCCTGGCAGCCCCTCTCAGCTCGCCTTCCAACAGACGCTGAGCCTCGGTGCCCTGGTGGGAGAGGTGGGGGCTGAGCCTCGGTGCCCTGGTGGGAGAGGTGGGGGCTGAGCCTCGGGGCCCAGGTGGGAGAGGTGGGGGCTGAGCCTCGGGGCGCAGGTGGGAGAGGTGGGGGCTGAGCCTCGGGGCGCAGGTGGGAGAGGTGGGGGTCCTGCTGCTGCTCAGCTCCCTGGTTGTGCCTTCCTGCCAGCTGGGTCTCTCTGGAGGGGACCATGGCAATGACAGGGTCGAGGAGGTTGCTGGCTGAGCGCTCAGGGAGCTGTGTTCCTGGGGGGTGGGGGGCGTGGAGTGGGCACAAGTTGTTGCTCTTGGCCTCCCCCACTTTGTCCTGGGAGGACGAGGACAGGGCCTGGAGGGCTAGGACGGTGTCCTGTGAGGACAGAGACCCCTTCAGGAGGCCAGGGGAGCGCCTGACTCCTGGGTTCTGCTTGGAGCTGCCCCAGAGCCCTCGTTTGGTGGGACCTCATGCCCATGGGCTTCTGTCCCAGGCGCCCCCGACAGTGTTAACTGGTGCCCATCTCAGGCATTCCTGCCCTCAGCCCATTTCGGCCACCTCCTCCCCCAAGGCCCGTTGCCCCTCTGTCTCCCATAGAAACCAGCCCTCTACTCCTGTTTCCTGTCCTCTCTGCCTATAGATCCAGTGGGGGCTCTTGCTGCTCCAACCCTCCCCCCTTGGCCACCTGACCCTCCAAGAGGTCTGTCAGAGTAGCCAAAGAGAGAAAAGTTTACATAGGTCTTTAAAAGAAGACAGAAAAATATCATTCAACCTTAGAGAGGAAGAAAATTTACACTACAGCAGGAGGAACCTTTAAGACTTTATGCTAAGTAGCCCTGGCCAGTTTGGCTCAGCAGGTAGAGCATCGGCCTGAGGACCAAAGAGTCTGGGGTTCCATTCCGGTACCTCGGTTGCAGTTCAGTCTCCGGCCCTGGTTGGGGTTGTGTGGGAGGCAGCCAGTCGATGTGTCTCTGAAACACCAATGTATCTCTCTCTGAAGATAAATGGAAAAATATCCTCGGGTGAGAATAAAAAAAAAAAAACTAGCCCGGCCTGTGTGGCTCAGTGGTTGAGTGTCGACCCTGCACCAAGAGGTCGCAGTTCGATTCCCGGTCAGGGCACATGCCCAGATTCTGGGCCTGATCCCCAGTGGGGGGCATGCAGGAGGCAGCCAATCCATGTTCCCTCTCATCAATATTCCACTCTCTCCCCCTCTCCCTTCCTTTCTCTCTAAAATCAATAAAGGGGGAAAAAAAAAAAAAAGACTATGCTAAGTAAAGTTAGCCAGTCACAAAAGGACAAATGCTATGTGACCCTCATAGGAGGTCCCTAGAGGAGTCAGATCCATAGGGACAGGAGTAGGAGGTGTTGCATGGGCTCGGGAGGGGAGCAGAGAGTGTTTGTGGGCACAGTGTCCGTGTGGGAGGATGGAGGTTCTGCAGGTGTTGGTGGTGACTCTGCACAGCAGTGTGAACTGGCCTAACCCTGAGCCGCGCACCTAAAATGGGTAAGGTGGCAACTTAAATAATGTATATTTTGTTCATTTTACAAGTATAAGACAGAGAGTCGATGTATGCATAATCTGGTTAATTATTCGCTCAGGTGTTCTCGACCCACACAAGTCCGAAACAGCCTTTGCTCACCCAGGAAGGGCCACTGGCAAGACCTTGAGAACAGCAATGCTGTGTCCCACCCTGGAACACAGGCTGTAAAGGTTTATCAGTCTTATCGTGCATGACCCTTGTTACCTGGGGAGAGGGGGCCGGCGGGATGCTCGCCTCGTGCTCACGTCCCTCTCAGAGCTGGGCTGGCTCCCCCCGGACCCCTGGAGGCTGGATGAGTCGCACCTCGCTGGCAGCTGGTGGGCTCCTCTCAGCAGACATGGTCCAGACCTTTGGCCAAAGCACCACCTGTAGGGAGGGAAGGGCCCCTACCCTCACCTGGCCTCAAGTTCCTTCTGGTCTCCACTGGGGGAGGGTCGTGGGTAGGATTCTCCTTTGAAAGGTGGCCACCCCA